TTTGACATTCTCCACTAATCACACTTTAAGCGTTAAGTACTTTACCTGCTGGACAAGTTAAGCAGTCCTTATTAGTACCTGCTAAACAAGTAAGACAGTTAGGGTCGCATGTATCACATGTTTTAGTCGTTGTATTTCCAAAATATCCTGGATCACAAACAGAAAGACATTCATTCGTGGATGATTTATAATAATAAGAATCTTAACATGTTGTACAAGTGGCAGTCGAACAAATTTAACAACCACTAATACAATTTACACAAGTTGTGCCTGATAGATATTGACCTTCAGAACACAAATAACAATGACCAGAAACAAGAATTGCTAATCCCTTACATCCTATGCAATTAGTTGCTGATGTTTCACATTTTAAACAATTATTGTCACAAATACTACATTTTGGATCATTTACATTACTAGAATCATTGAATTATCCATCTGGACATTATGTAATGCATTCATTTGACTGATTTCTAAAGTATCCATTTGCACATTAGATACATGCAGTTCCAACTGTACATGAATAGCATCCAGTTTAGCAAGGTTAACAATCTGCAATTCCAGAACTTATATAATAACTAACAGGGCATTGATCACAACTCGGAGTGTTAATTCTCTTTGTTGAGGCCAAACAATCTACACACACTCCAGGTGTTACACAAGTAGTGCAATAAGGCGGACAAGCTAATTTTAATTTATGCATTACTTATGCATTAATTATTCAACATAACATAACCTGTCAAGCAGGTGCAATCGGCAGGGTTTTTGTTTGCTGGAAATAGACATGGAGTACAGAGTGCATAAGTATAACAGGAATTACAACCTGTTTGACATTCAAATTAATAAATATGGATGTCATCCAAATAGAACACTCCAATATAATCTCCTCCTTATTATGATTATTCAATTTCAAATAGAAACGTATTTAAAGTTAATGGGTATTGTTCTGTCCTTTGCCACGTGTAATCAATATATGCAATGTAATCTGATTTCGAAGCCGACAATCTGTTGATGCTATCCACTTGTAAGACTGCAGCAGATTATTTCACACCATTTATTGTGACATCGAACTTAGTAGGGTTGAAATCAAGAAAATGAGCTGTTGCCCTAAATCTTAATTTGTGCTATGATTCCTTAATGGTTTGTGTGATCTACACCTTTTGGGATTAAAATGTGTCGAATGAGCCAACATAAAACCTACCGCCATAATAAAAAAAGGTTCTCTCCTTTATTTTTTCAGGCGTTGACACAACAGTTACCATCAGATCGTTGTAATTATAATAGTGCATGAACTCTGGTATTGTAGTAAAGAAGAAGTAATGATCAACTTAATCTAAACCATATAATATAATTATTTACTTCCTCCATTTTGATTAGTTTAGAGGTAGGATTGCATACTTGTACAAGTTTTGGTTGTCTCATCTTAATAATAACTATTTGGACATCTCTTTACACAATTAGATAAAGTAATATCAGATTCGTAATATTTGTAATATCCTGTGTCACATGTTAATGTTGTTTATGTTCCTGCACATGCTGTACAATAGTCTTTTTAATAACAGTACTTTTCAGTGGAGTCATACAAATAGTTTTATCCACATGTTGCTATGCATAAATTTGATTAATAAACTAAATCGCCTTTGCATTTGCAATAATATTGTTAGAAATATTAATTTGGACTACATGTAGGGATATAATCGATAAATTGCAGGATTTCGTTTCTCCCTCTTTGTTATTGTTGCAAAAGGACCAAATTTTTTATATAAATTCCCAGGTTTGGATTACTGACTTTTATCTCGAAATTCAAAGCATCAAATCGCATATTGATGACAAAGTAGGCTTGAGATTCATAAAGCAATCTATGATTGATCGAACTAAATACTTTTGAATGCAATTCCTATTGGAATCGGTAAGTTTGAATTTCTCAGAGTACACTTTTTAATTGTTTGCAAAGACCTACAATTCATCATTATTCCAATTTCCAGATATAGAATACTCAAAATATATGTAAGCCCTGCTTGTTTTCGGAAGAGTAAATATTCTCTTCCAATAGATTGAACTTAAACTAGTATCTACCCCAATGTAGTTTTCTGCTAACCCATTTGTACAGAAGGCTAGTGGTAGGCTCAAGGTTTCGTCTGACCATAAACTTCCAGCACTTTCATTAGTTAGATCTGTTAAAACCAAATATTTGCATTCTAATTATATATTCTATCTTACTAGATGGCAGAATAAGTTGCTCGAAAAAAAGAACGATAAATATTATCATCTTAATCATCTATTATTAAAACGAAAATAAATTAATGAATTTTCTTTATATATTAGTACATTTGATTCTCACCTTATGATGATATGATGGTATTCATAAAAATATAAGAGAAGTCAATCTTAACAAATGAAAATATTAAGTATTCAATAATCCAAACAGCAATTAACTGGACAACTCCTCCAAGGTCGATTCCAAGATTCTCAATCTTCCATAGAACAGTCGATGCTCCATGGCTTAATTAATAATATAACCAAATGATTGAATATTATCATCTCATTTTCATAATGTATTTTGAAAATCAAACTCAATTAACTTAAATAGGCCACTTAAAATAATTAATATATTAATTTGTCAAAAAACATAATACGGCAGAGATAAAATTACTTTATTTTAAGTTCTTTAGCTATCCTTAGAATGGCAGGAAAGCCTTATTTATTAAAGGAATTCTCCCATCCTATCATACTTTAAATAATTTATTCGGTATTTATAAAATCAGCCTATTCTTACTGTAATATTATTCATATTATTGAAAAATTAGTCATTTAATTCTAAATAATTACCTAATAAGATTTCCAAAAATACTTTCATCAGCGAATAACTAATTTTTTTCAAGTTCTCAAATAGATATAGCTGATAGATCATTATCTAAAATCATCAATTATCAAATCATTATAAATATATATATGAACTTATGCATTTTAATTAAAACCTTAATAAAAGTTGCTTTCTTTTATATAATATTGTCTCTTATTCTGCCAAAGATTAGTTATAACAATATTCTCATTTATCTATTGAGCACGCCTATACATCATTTTAAATTTAACCAACACTAAAAATTTAAGGTTTTACTTAATTCAAAGTTTTACTTCTAATTAGTGCTATTTAATCATGAAAATATTCATAAAAGTGTAACGAATGTAAGCTATTTTTGAAGCATAATGAATATTAAAACAATGATGCATTTCACATTAATGAAATCTGTAATCATAATTTAAATAATGCCTTAATTATTAATTCAATTACTTTATGGAGGAGGATGGGCATCTTAATTTAAAGTTGGTACTAATCTGAAAATATTGTGAAATTTGATTTATTTAAAATTAAAAATCATAAGTTTATATTTTAGAGTCTGAAAATAATATTTGGTTGTTTCATTATCATCATACAAGATATCCTTAATTATTGTTGTAAGGGTTTTCATTTAAAATTATAATGTTGGCAAGTAAGATTTTCCTGGAATGGTTAGATGGAATGAAATTTACAACTTTTAACATGGATTAATATTTTTAAATAGTAATTTATCCAAATGTCTTTAAAGTTTTCTATTTTTTAAGTATCTGGCTTCTTTTTCAATTTATATTATTACAAAATATCTACAAATCTCTTTATTCAAGAGCTATATATTATTATTATTCAATATTAGAGGTAGGAAATGGCAAAAAATTTTTGAATGGTCTTATAATCAAAATTAAAATAATAATCTCTATTACACATTTGATTAAAGTATTAGTATGGATGAATTAAAATAAGCTCATTTAGGATGAAACATTTCTTAAAAAGACTCATAAATAAATTTTATGATTAAAATATAGTGTGCTTTTTTGTCAACCTAATTCTTCTACTGCTATTAGAAATAATAAGCGAAATAAAGAGAAATTAATTAAAATATTAATATAATAAACCATATAGCTTCATATTTTTATACTTAAGAATCTTTAAAGTGTAAGATCGTTACTCGCAAAGATTAAATTTCAGAAATAAATCATTAAAAGTCTAGGCCTTGAGAGCAATAATTTAATAGATAGATCAAATTGATTGCGAAATTAAAGTTTATTTCAATTTTAATATTTTATCAGGAAGAGTAGTAATAACCAATCTAACAATATATGGAAATTTTTAATCGATAGTCTAATACTTTAGTAATCATATAATATATTGTAAATATTAAATCTCTAAAGATATGTTAACAATAAAGGAATCGATTTAAAAAACAAAATTAATGATAAAAAATTTAGTAAAATTAAATTATATAAAAATATTTCATAATAAATATCCAATTCATTTATAAATTAAAATAAATTTCAAAAATAATCAAGAAAAAAATTCCTAATTATATTAATTTAAGATTTATTGGATACAAAGGGGTGGTAATGTGGAATAATTATAATTTTGATTTTATTAAATTAGAATAGTCTAGACAAAGATTTCCAACTAATGAAATCAATAATAATAAGATGTAAAATATCTTTGATGTAATTTATTTAATTTCTATATCAATAAATAAAACAGTTGGGTTAGATAGAAATAATACTGATTTTTCATAATATTAATTTTGAAGTTTTATAAAATGAGATTTTTCAATTTGAAGCAGTTTGAAGAATCATTTGTATTTTTTTGCGTCTCAAACGTTGAGCAATTTTTAGGAAATCAATTAAGAATAGAGATTATATATACTATTTAGTATTAATTAGGTGATTTTAATGAAAATAGGATGTTGATTAAATGATGAAAATAAGAAAAATCGATAAATCTTTTATGGTTCCTCTGATTATCATAAAATTGAATTAGCCACAAGTAGAACAAGATATGAATATGTGTGGTGACAAAAATTAATTTGTTAGAGGAGTGGAGGTGAGAAGTAAGACAACGGGATGTTTATAGAGTAGGATATGGAGAGTATTCTATCTCATGATTGATTTATAATAAAAACGGTTTATATATTTATTTTATCATGAAGAAATTGTTATTGCTATTGCTTGCTACCTTGAGTTTTGCTGAGGTCTGTGTAGTCAGGGTAGGAATGACATATTACGAAGCAAGAGATTTAGAAATAAGTCGGTTCAATTGTTATATGAACTTTGATGGATCCATTGAAGCCCTAACAAGATGGATTGATATAATTGAACACCGAGAATAACTGTTAAATGACTTGGAAGTGTTGGCCAAGATGATAAAGATTATCGAGAGTGCGAAGTAGGCTACGACAGTGATTCGTGATTATGAGAGAAATCGTCCATCTTTCAAGGCATTCCTATAAAATGAGTGGACATCTTGCAGGATTGAAGATGCTTATGAATATGTTCAGCGTTTGAATGCTTAGAGATCAAAGGAATAACGAGTTGCATTGGCTAATTCGATTATAAATTACTTAAGAAATGCTGAAAGATAAATCTATGGATATGTGGATTCATGTCGAAATGTTAAATTAACTACTCATCTGAAATAGAAGATTGCATAATTGAAGGCTTTGAAATAGGTTTGTGAATAGGAACTCAAAAAACCATCACCAAGGGATGTCATTATAGAAAGCGATGATGATGATGTGGTATACTATTTTGAAGAACAAGTCAACGAAGATGTTTACGATTATGTTTATGTTTATGAAGACGAAATGGAAGCTTAATTCCCAGTTGATGATTCAGAGCCATAGGTTTATAAGCATTCCTAAAATCCAAAGGTGACCAAGAGTACTGTCATAAAGACCAGAGAAATATATGGTGCTTAAAAGGATACGAGCAAAGTGGTTGATGCTCATTCTACCTATGGACCTATTGAATATATTAAAAGTGGGGTTGGAGAAGAGTGCGAATATTATGGAGATACAGTTAACTAGCCAGAGCCAGATTATGTGGATGGAATGGAGGAAACCGAAGAAAATCCTTAGTAAGTTACTGAAGATCCAGTGCCAGATGATGAAAAAATTACAGAGGAGGAGGCTACAATTGAAATCGCAGAGGAAACCATTGAAGAAATTACTTAAGAGGAGAAAAGTGATGACAAGAATTAAGTAAAGCCAAAGAGAAAGGAAAAAATATAGAAGGAAGATAAGCCAAGAAGAATAAATTAATAAGATGCAGAAGTAATTACTAAAAAGAAAAAAACTGAGGAGAAAACAGAAAATAAATAAAAGAAATAAGAAGATAAAAAGGATGAGGTTGATGAATAAAATGAAAATGGAGAAGAAGAAGAAGAAGAAGATGAAGAATTGTGTGAGCCTTAGGATGGGAACAAAACAAAGAAGGTTGTGAAAAAAGTGAAAAGAGATGGGCCACCTAGTCAATCTGGTTAGAGGACAAGAAGAGAAGCCAAGTAAGAGAAGAAAATGGCAAAAGAGTAGCCATTGCCTGCAATTTGTTATGGAAATGAGAATTACGTTGAAGAAGTTATTGCAGAAGAAGTCATTTAATCTTCGGACAAGGGAGCTAACTACCTGGCTGTTGAGAACTTACTTAATGATGTTGTTAGTGAAGAAAAACATGATGATCATAATGAACATGATAGATCAGTCAAATTGACATCTGTTAAGGATGAATTCAATGCAAATGAACCAACACAATTTTAACCACCTAAACATAGAGCAAGCAGTGGTAGAGTTCAAGAAAAGAAAGCTATTGCTGTGAACACTAAGTATTTCAATTCAGAATTTGATGGAGAACCCACTTAAGTATTTGAATTTGAGGATAGAGCATTATTGCAAGATGCGTCTGAATATGGATATGGGTATTGGGTGAGATTCAGTGAACACTCAATTAAGTAGCATGCTCGTGAGGAGGGACAATTCTATTTCTTATCAAGAATGACAACCAATGAAGAATATGAGGACTTTACTTTTTATGGAGACAGAACATTAGCAGTATTTTTATATGACAATTCGTTTGTATTTTCAACGTATGATATTACAACTTAAAGTAAAACTAAGGATACTAATGTTGTATTGAATGAGAACATGGATAGTGTTTGGTATTTTGTGGCATACACTTACAGCTCTTAATAAAGAAAGGCAGTTGGATATATAGTAAAATATGGATAAGGTGCACCCAAATATAGAATTGAAATTGAGGCTTAGCATGTACCACCAACATATGTAAAGTTCATTTTCGGAGGAAAGCATATGGATTATCTAGGATTGAATGGATAATTTGCTAACATCTTTTATGACGTTGATGCTCCAGCATTTATTGATGGAGATGACTCCTTGGAAGAGACCATTAATACTCTGAGTAACATGCCTCAATAGTTGCCCATCTTGATAGAGGAAACAATTATCAGCAAACCAATCACAATCAGTGGCAATGAGAAGGGGGAGCACTTTCATTTTGACCCACAAGAGTCACAATTATTAATTGAAGAATATGCAGTCGCTTTTTGGTTTAGATGGGTGGATGATCTTAAAGTGGATGAACCTAATGCCTTTTAACTGATTAATCTGAGATCCAATAAAGTGCGTACTTAAGGAAAAGGAGTGCTGGGTGATAGAGCCTTGGAAGTTCATCACGTATATGGTGGTGGCATTAAGAGCAATGTATATTTTAATACCTACACTGTTTATGGAAACAGAGGAAAAGGGTCTGTAAATATATTAAAGAGTGTTGAAAGTGCTGAATATATATGGACTTATGTGTACTTTGGGTATAAGGAAGGAAGAGCCTATGGGGCCTTGATAAAACCATAGGTAACTGGAGAAGTTAAATTTGATGGAGTGTATCATAAATAAGCCAACCATTTGAGTGTTACGGTAGGAGGGGATGAGACAATTTCACCATTCAATGGAAAGATAGCCTTCGTTGGTATTTATTTGGGCGAAGGAGCCTACAGAGAAGGCCTTGATTTTTAGACTACTTTTAATTATGGAGAAGGAGTAATGGCAGTGTATTAGGTAGGCAAGCCAATTACTTACATGGGAGTTGATTAGAGTAGATATGTTGAATTCGATTAAGCAGACAATGTAGTGGATAAAATCATTATCCACGATGAAAATGCAATGAAAATTAATGGCTAAAGTGAATATGCATTTGGTCTTTGGACTAGATGGTTGACTACATTGCCAAAATATTTGAATAAGAGAGCACCAGTCCATAACATAGCTAGAGTCGGTACTTAAGGTTACATAATTGAATCTGAGAATGGCAGATGGATCAGAGCTAATGGAGGGAGACCTCAAACTTTGAAAGATACAACCTTGGCTTGTGTTTTAACTTAAGAATCATATGAATTTTAGACTCTTAATCTTAAAGATGATATCCCATTCACTAATTTGGAAGGACAATGGAATTATGTTTATTTTGGATATAAGAGACAGGGGGATACTGGAGTTGCCAAAGGTTATATTCAATTTGGAGTGGATGGTGAAATAGAAGAGGTTGCATTCACTGTCTATCATGATTTCTTAGTGGAGTACGTTGAATTCATTGTTGGAAAGACATCAGCCCCATTATTTAATGGTGAATTAGCAAGAGTTACTTTTAGCTTTGGTCCTGGAGCATTCGTACCAAATAAAGATACGTTGAGATTGTTTACATAAAATTCATTACCAGAAAAGGCCTAAATACATCCAGTCACCAGATAGACTTTACAATTGTTTGGATCAGCAATTACAATAGCTGAAGATCCCATCTAATTTGAGTTTGATAAATTTTAGGGTGCTGAGGAGTACTCAGTTTCTGGATGGGTAAGATGGGCTGGTCCACTAGTTACTGGTAAGGAATCCCATGTGATTACATTGGCTTAAAAGAGATTACTGGATATAGATGGAAACAAAGAAGAGACCTTGTAAATCATAAGAGGAGACTCGCTTTACAGATTTATTACTTACACTAATAATGGTAAATTGATACCTGCTGAACAGGAGTTTCATGAATATGCTGATCAATGGACCTACATATATTATGGGTATTCAAAGTAATAACTGAAGACATATGGTTATGCAAGATTCGCATTTACAGATGCTGAATTTACACAAGAAAACATATCCCATTTCTACTTAGCTGTTTTCAGCATTATTGTTGGTCATGGAAGGTAGTCCTATGTAGATTTCATAGGGTAGATGAAAACTTGGGTGGTGAATGTAGGATTTGGAGCATATAGAGAGGGCAATTTTGAGGAGGATGAGAATATCAAAATTCATTTTGGATTTATTAGTGGAGCTGATCATATCAAATAGGCAGGATAGGAGGCTCATCATGAGGAGAAGGTCTTGGAATGTGCAACCAAGGATGAGGAACCTCCAATGTAGATTCATTTCGAGTAAAGTTCAAGTCTGTAATTGCATGGAGTTTCAGAGTATGGATATGGATTTTGGTTGAGATATCAATATTTTGGATCTAAATAAAAGATTTATGCATAGCCTCAATTAATGGGAGTAGCCAGATTAACAAGTAATAAGGAATATAAGGATTTCGATAATCCAGGTGATAGAGTCTTGTTGGTGGTGATGGGTAGAAAGGCCTTTTCTTTTGGCACTTATGATGTTATAACCAAATCAAACAATGTTGGAGGGGATCTCGAGTACAGAAGAGAGAGTGAGGGAGAATGGTAATATCTTTATTTCAGTTATAAGAGACACACATAATAGGAGGGACATGCTATAGCATTTACATAATTTAGAGATCACACTGAAGGATTACAGATGGATGTATTGCATTCTTTATTAACTAATTATTTATATTTCTCAGTTGGTCATGCTGGTAAATACTATGTTAACTTCAATGGTTAAATAACCAAGGTTAGAATTAATTTGGGTCCAGGATCTTTTATTGAAAATAAGGCAGATTTGTTATCTAAAATTAAGACTAAGGATACTATTCCAGAGATCGAATAAGTAAGTAAGAATATTGAAATTATTTCTGGAATCCAGGATGTTAGAAAACTTGATGAAAAACATCACTTAACAAAGTTCGAATAAGAAATTAGAGAGTATGGGGTTTAATTGTGGTTTAGATGGTTCAAGAGCTAAAAGAGCACTTAATTAATGTATAGATTAACAACAAATGGAGAGGACACTCTTGGAGATGCTCAGAAGATAGGTGATAGGACTTTAGTGATGTGTCATACAGAAGGGTTGGAATTCAGTACTTATAGTTTGGGTGATAAGACAGTTCAATTAAATAATGCATATCCAGTTTAGATTGCTAAGTAGAATTTGGAAGTGTGGACATTTGCATATTTTGCTTATTCAAAGGAGAGTCAACAAATAGTTTATTACATCAATAGTGAAGAGAATGAGTAACATGCTTTAGAGTCAGCCTTGCATGCAGTCTCATCCAATTATTGGTTTTATTTGGCCAAAGATGCTCTCTTGAATTCGTATGATAGTCGATTGGCTCAGGTAGTATTGAATTTAGGAAGTGGAGCATTCAGAAAGGATAATTTCAAGGGTTTGATGGTTTATCTATAGTCTCCAAAGCTATTCAATCCAAATGCAAAATTACAATGGGATTACGAAGAAGATGAATTGGTACTAGATTCCTAAGATGCTGAAAAGTAAGGTGTTACAGTGAGAATTGCTGAGCCAAATCAAAAGATCGAAAGCATTTAAGAATATTCAGTTGGGTTATGGTTACGATTCTTGTAGGCTTGGCCATCAAGATTATGGAATATTCCAAGTGAGATGTAAATATTCAGATTGACATCAAATGAGGAATTGGAGAATGGCAAGATTGCTATTGGAGATAGAGTATTGAGTGCATACTTGGTACACGATAACTTCTACTTTGGTGCCTATGATATCAATGAGGACGCTCCTAATGAGATATCTACAATCTCTTACTCTTCATTGGAAGGTAGATGGCATTACATATATGCTGGTTATAAGAGATCCATATAGGAGGCTGTCTATTATGTTTATGATGGAGAACACATTCAAAAAGCAAAGAATGAACAGTTATTGTAGAGACCATTGAATGAGTGGATTAAGTTGATCTTAGGTGGAGAGAAGAATGTTGCAGGATTTCATGGATTGTTCAGTCAAATTTCAGCTCATCTGGGAAAGGAAGCATATGTAGAAAATGAGGAATAACTCCTAAAATCAATAGAATCTAGTTATGCTTTGCCATTGGAATTAACTGTAGGGTACATTCAAAAGTAGAAGAAGGGATAAGTGGAGCTAGAACAATATAAGAGTCAAGAACTAACTCAATTATAAGGAATTGGAGAATATGCCATAAGCGGGTGGTTTAAGATTGCTGAAGTACAAGCTAAAATTGAAGGGGAGATTAATTCACCTTGTTAAGTCTTATTCAGAATAACCAACAATGATGAAGAGCATCTATCTGATAGGAAATAGTAAGGAGATCGTACATTGTATGCTTAAGTGTGTACAAGTGACACAGTTAAGGTTAGTACTTATAGCATTGCAGGTTTGAAGGATTGGAATGAAGCCAAGTTTTTGGAGGCAAAAGCAGAAATGGGAAATTCTAAACGAGCTTGGACATACTTCTACATGAGTTATAGCGAAGATAAGAGGGAGGTGGCAACATTGATAAAATTATTCGAAAAGGATGTTCCTATTGTATTCAAGGATGTTCAACACTTTGTTGCCAATAATATGTTTGTTTATTTGGGCAAAGATTCTTTTAGCAGGAAATTCTAAGGAGAATAACACAAGTGGGAATTACTATTTGGATCTGGATCTCACACTTATAATGAAGAAACCATGCCAAATCTGAGATATATTATTAAGAATCAGAAAAACATGTGGTTCTCAAAAGAGGACAAGAAAATTGACACTAAATTCGAATAAAGTTTCGATAAAGAAGTTGAATCTGTAGATGAATATGCTGTTGGGATGTGGACTAGATGGTTGATAGCTTTCCCAACTACTTTGACTGAAAGATCTGATACTCACACCATATTCCGTCTATCATAGACCTTGGAATATTAGGATAAAGCAGAATTGGGAAATAGAGCATTATCTGCATTCCTCAAAAAAGGATTTTATGAATTCAGCACTTATGATGCGTCTGCTCCAAACAATGCAGTAGATGCTAAAGTGAATTATGAAAATGTAGAAGGAGAATGGAATTACATTTATGCAGGTTATAAAAATAAATAGTTTTATGGATTAATCATTTTTAGAGATAGGGAGCATGTCGAGGAAGTCAAGTTAGATGTGACTCATCTTGTTTTGACTGGACATGCTATTTTGGTTCT